GTTATCCAGAATTCACTATTTTATAAAAATATAGTTGGTTATGGTGAGTTTTGATATCCAGAATACACTATTTTATAACAATATAGTTGGTTATGGTGAGTTTTGATATCCAAAGTACACTATTTTATAACAATATAGTTGGTTATGGTGAGTTTTGATATCCAGAATACACTATTTTATAACATTTGTTAATGTTGAAAATGTATTTCACAGTTTTATTGTATTTAGGTAATTCTTCCACCAGAATACCCCCTACATTCACCACCACTCTATCAATTCAGGTAAGTAAAATATTTAAGGATTTGTAGTTTCGAAGCACCTCCATTTAACATAAATTAGAATACAGATATTAGAATTCTTTCAAGTTTAGGAGAATATATACAATTTACTGGGCATCCAAGAAATTGGTGTTTAGTGGGTTTTAAACTAGTTTTTTTTATGTATAAAAATATTGAAAAGATTTTAGGAAATTATATCGAATTAAATGAGTTATATATATATGTCACTCAGGGAACTATATTTCTGATAATATTGAGCTTGAAGCTGCTGTATAGTTGGTTATGATGTAAATTTTGATATCCCAAATACACTTTGTTTTATAGCATTGTTTGCTATAGTATGTATCGTAATTTCCAATCTATGATTTTTTTAATATTTTGCTTTCAAACTCAAGCAGCCATTGTAACAGTTTATACAAAGGAGAAATTTCATGAGGTGGTCAAGAATATATATATTTTATTTCTGATTAAATTGTGGGGAGTAAAAAAATTCAGTTTTATTCCTTATCAAAATGTTTCCCAGCATTAATTTTATCTTTAATTGAGGGTGTTATGTTTGTTGAATGATCCTCTGTATACAAGGTGTCTTGTCAGGTGACTAGTCACAGTGAGTGAGATTCAGTTCCTTCCAATAATTAATTTCCACTCACATGTAGCTTTCTCAGTTCAGTGCTTCACTCTGTATGCATAATTTTTCACTCGATACTAGCCTTGAGACTCCCACTTAACCTCAAGTGATCATCAACAATATCACATTTTTTTTCTTCTTCTAGTGGAGTATGGGAATCCTTGCCACTCGCCAGTTTCTGTCAGCTTGGATGGTGAACTATGGAATCTGCCTCCCGAGTGTGACCAATTCCATTCAGTAGAGAATAGGGTGGTGGGGTTCTGTTCATGTAATATGGTTCACCACTCTGGCTTGCTTTCCCCTATCCTACTGCTGCCCATATTTTGGGTTCCCAAGTGATCTGGTGTTGGATTGGCACAAGACCAACTAAAATAAGTCCTCCCTCAGTTGCAGTTCAGATGTTAAATTCTCACTCTGTCTCACTAGACTTGAGGTGAAGATGGTAAGGACCTTCCTCCTATTGCGACCTGGAAGCTGAATTCCTGGTGCAGCCTGGTTTTTGTACTGGAGTTGACCCACCATGTACAGTCTGATGCCTCCTAGCCACACTACACATATAGCACTTCTGTAAGCCTTACTCAGGTTCTGGACTGTGCTTGTATATTCTGCTCATTCTTGTGAAACTACCCTTCCATTCTTTTCTAGGTGAAGAGTGTACCCTGGTACAGATGAGGTGTGGTTTCCCATGGGTGTGATCTTGTACTATACCATGGTAGGGTGTTGCACTCCATGGGTCCCCTGTGAATGCTTCTCGAAGGTGCTCATCAAAGTAAAACTTTGCACTGGTCTCTCCAACACTGAAAATGTATTTTCGATAGATACCTCTTTTCATACTTTCCACCCTTCCTTCCCACTTCAGGTGCATCTTACTTTCTTGCCTAATCTTGAAGTGATGATAGAACAATCAGTATAGAGGGAGCCAGCTGTTCTAGAAAGCAGTGTGGCACTCCTATTGGTTGAGGGTTGTCTCATGATCATTTGCATGCAATAGTGCAGCAATACCATGTGGAAACATGTGAGATTAGGGCTAGTGGTGAGCAACAAAAGCTTGAATATAGAGAGAAGCACTGAATTGGTAAAGTCATTTGTGAACAAAGGTAAGTATTTATTGAAATTACATTTTCAGTGTTGGAAAATGTTAACTTTAAAAGTGTTCACTTGTTGGGTTATTAGTATGTGAGATGATTAAGAAGTATGAAACACATATGAATGTTAAATCATGTGAGTTAACAATTTATGACTATTCTCACTGAAAGTATACTAAAAAAGTATTAATAAGCAATAGAATGTCTTGTTGTGAATGTTGAACAATTATTTCTCATTATGTTTTAAGTTTTGATTATCAGAGATGCTGATGTAAGAAAACTGTCTAATATCATCTGGCATCATTCTTTCCCTCCCCCTAGTATTGAAAAAACTAAAATAATGTTTTACAATTTTATTTTATTTTTTATTTTCTATTCTAATGTCATCCTTCCAGTGCCCCATGGATGAAAGGATATCAGAAAGTGGAACTCTCGACTGCACTGGAAGATATATATTTGTGAGTCGTTATTTTTTCCACTATGCAGTTGTTTTAAAAACGGCATTCAAGCTGATTTTCTTGCATCATGTAAATGTTATTAAAATCATTCTACTCATCAGTGGATTAATTTGTAGATATGTACATAGAACTTAGAATAACAAAAACTATTGTAGAAGAATATGATTAAATTATGTGCTCATGAGATTCAGTAAATTTAACCAAGTTTTCTCATATCTACACAAATACATAATCTACAACTAAGTACATTTATTTTATATCTTATTGAAATATACCTGACTAATATTTTATTTAGAACATAATAACTCAAGAAATGTAATGATTTTATGAAATTACAGATTCCATCACATCGGTTTTCTTTTTTTACATGATAAAGAACATAAGAATTTCTGTGTAAATGATCATAAATTTAAGAACAAAAATAGAAAATTCCAGCATTTCAGGTACTACAAAACATTATATTACAGAGTTAAAACAGCACTCACATCACTAAGAGTTTTGACGTTTTCAACATATATTATTAGCCACAGTATAAAGCATTCATTTAAAAAGTGTACATAAGCACTAATCATGACTAAAATTACTGCCTTGATTGATATTATTTTTTATTGCACTGGACATTTAATAACTCAAAATAACTCAAAATAACTCA